TGATAAAGCTCAGAAAGAATATCCTTCTGCCTCAAAAGCTGCATCTCCAGCAACGATACTCCCAGTCCTGACTCACGGGTCACATGACTGTTATTGGGGTCTCTGAAATCACATGGTGGGTGGGCAGCTGGCCCCGCATCAGTGGGAGGCTGGCAAACCAGATCCATCCGTTCCTCTGGGATGTTCTCAAACTTAACATGTCCCTTCTGGGGCTTCCCTGGTGGCGCAGTGGTTGAGGGTCCACCTGCCGATGCAGGGGATGCGGGTTTGTGCCCCGGTCCGGGAAGATCCCACATGCCGCGGAGCGGCTGGGCCCGTGAGCCATGGCCGCTGAGCCTGCGCGTCTGGAGCCTGTGCTCCGCGACGGGAGAAGCCACAACAGTGAGAGGCCCGCATACAGAAGAAAAAAAAAGAAAAAAAAAAGTCCCTTCTTAGAAACGTGCTGGCATATTTTTCTTGAACAACACAGGAGGCAAAGATGAGTCTGTTGAATTGTTGCCTTTTTCTGGTAGAATACATTGAAATACAATTTAAATGTTTTGTTATTATTATTTTCATTCTGCTTCTTTGGGGAGACAAAGGTCATTCCTGAGTCAGTGTGGCCAGGTTGATCATCTTGTTAGGTCACCATCCTAGAGTCACACTGATGTCTGCAACTTACCCAGGGGCACAGGGAGAGGGTGGCACCACCCCCAGGCCATGCAGCGAGTCACATCCAGGACACAGGGCAGAGCTCCTGGGTCTGGAGTCTTCCCACGAGATTACAGAGCCCAGATTGTCCACCACACCCATGATTCCAAACATCCCGCACTGCTCTTGATACATTCCTACTTGTCAGCCCATGTGGCTCAGATTTTTGTTTGGAAACATGGTCACTGTCACATCATCACAATGCCTCTCTCATTATGTCCTTGGAGGGATTTAACAGATGGAAGTTTCCCTCAATTCTCAGGAAAAAAGTGGGGAGGAACAGAGCAGGGTTCCTTGCTGGGGGCCCTGCAGCTAACTCCACTGGCCATCTGAGAGTGAGTGGCTTCACTCCACAGCCAGGTGTACAGTGGCAGGTGCAGAGGGACTGCCCTGCTATGGGGTACCATTAGCACTGAGAGCTCTGTGAAGGTTCATTTTTTATGTGCCAACTTGGCTGGGCCATGGTACCCAGATATGTGACCAAATGCCAGTCTAGATGTTGCTAGGAAGGTATATTTTAGAGGCAATTAACATTTAAATCAGTAGACGTCAAGTAAAGCAGATCACCCTTCATAACGTGGGTGGGCCTCGTCCAATCAGGTGAAGGAGAGGGCAGAGAGGAGTGAGGTGCCCTGAGCAGGGAGGGAATTCTGCCTCCAGGATGCCTCAGACTGAAGAATTCGACATCAGCTCCTCTGTGTGTGTGTGTGTGTGTGTGTGTGTGTGTGTGTGTGTGTGTGTGGTGTGTTTATATACACATAGATATCTACACACACACGTCCTATTAGTTCCGTCTCTCTGCAGACCCTGACAGACATAATCCCCCACCATGTCATAGGACACTCCTGTTTTTGAAGCATTCTCATGGAAAACAACCCCGAGTGCACAGGGATGTAAGCACATGGGCTACTTGTCCCTATTTCTCTCCTTATTATCTTATTCTTGGCAAATTTTCCATGGCCTTAAGACGGGATGTGTTTTTCTCTGGTGTGGAGTTTTGTTTTTGTTTTTGTTGGCAACGGTGGGGTTGCTGGGGGGAGGGGAGGGGCGGGGCTTCCTAACGTGGCCAAGGAGAGCCATGAGCATCCCTTGTCCCGTGGGTGAGCTGCTATCTCCGCCGCCTCCCCAGGGGCGAGAAGGGCAGTGCCCAGGATGCACTTGGTTCATTTCTCTTTGGGGTCCCAGATCTTCTGGAAGAAACAATGGAAGTTATGGGCAACAGCTCTGGAAAAATCCACATTCCCGCACATGTCTATAGGGATGTGAGACCTCTGGCAGCACCCACACACCCTGGGACAGCACGCCTCATTTGTGGGAGAAAGACCCGCAGACGGAACCTCAGTGACAACAAAGACAAGGGCCTCACAGGAAGTCGCCAGCGTTACTGAGACCTACTGTGTGCTGGGTGCTATTCGAGCTCAGGTCTGGAAGAACCAAGTGTGCAGAAGGATGTGGGGAAACCAGAGAACTTGGATCTCATACCCAGAAGACACCTCTGGGAGCAGCTGGTCTCTCGAGCCTTCACTTTCCACGTGAGATACAGTAACTACAGCATCCCTCCTGAAGCTTTTGGGTCCTTAAACGCAGCCAAAACGACCATTCTCCAAGAATGCCTGCAACCTTGCAAGCATCCTTCCGAGATGCAGCCGGATTTTTGCCTCTGCCTCCATGTGACCGGAAGGCAGAAGAAAGAAAGACACCAGAAGCTGAAAATCACCCAAAGTTCAAGACTCTCTGTTTAGACATGAGGCTCCAGACTCCTGCAGGTTCCCAGCATAGCCAGCGGTGGGCACAGGATGCAACTCGCACCCTGGAGAAGTTTCGAGACAGCAAGAGGGTCTGCTAAAGAAGAGGGGGTGACAGCTAAGGGGTGGGGGGCAGAAGCTGGAAAAGTCCTCGGTGTGCGCTACCCTTGTCCGTTTAGCTCAATCCAGTCATTCTTCAGATGCTTCCATTTCTCCAAAGGTCCAAGTTCCCCAAAACCCACTTCCTCGCTTCGTGATCTTATCCAATATGTTCTAAAGTTTGCCAGTGGACCTGTCCATATATCAACAGAGAATTTTTGGATGGAAGGAAAGAAAGAGGGAAGGAGGGAGGAGGAAAAGAAAGGAAGACAGAGAAAGACCATCCAGGAACATCTTCTGTATAAAAGTTATGTCGCTTGTCTGACTTCAAAACGCTCAAGCCTGGTTATTGTCATTTTTCTTGTTTCCCCGGGTAGCTCACGAAACTCCCAAACACCATATTTAATCCTTTCCCCCTAGTGTTTAAAATGAATCAGGGTCAGGGAAGAGGGGAAGAGGTAAATCAAGCTGTGAGGGGAACGTTAGCAAGTTGGCTAGAAAAAGCCAAAGACCCATGGCTTCATCTCGGGCCCTAAACCACAGCTCGGAACTGGGAGACAGGATTCCCAACAGGTCGCAGGGCTTTGCGACAATCGCTTCCCGCAGCCAGTGCTCAGGGCTTGGCAACAGGCAGAGAACTAAGGTGTCTCCAAATATCCCCTCCTTCCTCCCCTCTCCTCTGCAAAGGCCCCCCTGCCCCAAATTTGCTTAGCTTTCTTCTTTCTCCTTCTAGACCCACAGCCTGGGATTCCTACCAAGGCTGCCCTCAGTCCTGGGTTCTGTGAAGCTAATTTGGTCAGAGGACAATGCCAGGAAGATAAGAATCAGAAAGGATAAGTGTCAGGGTGATGGGGACGGCAGGAGAAGGTGACCCTGATCACTGTCTGAGAATAGAAGGCAATCAGTGACAGCCCGTCCAGGAGTCCCTCCCCAGCACACATCATTTTTATGATCTGGCCCCATCCTCCCTACTGTGGGCTGACGGTATGTGTAGGAGCTGATCAGACACAGCCCGGCAAGCAAATTCTGCCATCAGGGTCAGCTTCATTTGGGGGGACCTGGGATAAAATGCAAACGTGGAGCCCTTGCTTCAAAGAGTATTAAGCATTTCCACTGCTGTGCCGCACACCTGAAACTAACACGATATTGTAAGTCAACTACACTTTGATTTTTTTAAAAAAAGTATTAAGCATTTCAAGATGGCGACAATACACTTTAAACCATGAGGGTCTTTCTGAGCTGGAACCCTGTGCACACGTCCAGGCTCCCCGCTGGAGCCAGCCCTGCTTGCCATGCTGGACAACAGGGTGACTTTCCAGACCTCTCCCAGATGCACTTAGAGGGCTCATGACCTGGTTTGAAATACATTCGCCCCCAGGCTCACCCTCCTCTGCACTTCATCCTCGAGGTGTCGGTGAAACAAGGTGGGTATGTGAGGCCCATCGAGATATCACCCAGGGTGCTCAGAGGTTAGATGGCTCGGAATGAAGGAACCCCTGAAGGACACGAATCACGGGGCTCCAAACACAGTGGCAAAGTTGCCTTTGCGGGCCAAGGGCTCCAGGAAGGCTAAGAATCCCTAGTCAAGTGCAAGCAGGACGCCCAAGAGATCCCATGAATACCTAGAGACATCTAGAGACGTCTGGTCCAAGTCCCAGATTGTAGAGACCAGGAAGGCAAAGTCCAAAGGCTGCTGACCAGAGCAGGGTCAAGCCCTCTTCACAGTTTGCAGGATGATGTTTCTGCAGAAGGGGTTCCTGAATTGAGTCGCTGCCCACGGCCTCAGGAGAGAGTGGGCTTCACAACAAGGAGACCCCAAAACTAACTCAGGTGTCACTGTCTCGGTCCTGCAGTAAGAGAGTTCTTAGGGACCGGAAGGGTCAAGGGGAGCTGTCCGGGGCAGGGGGTGACAGTGGGCAGGAGAAGCCAGCCTGGGGAGGACCCGTGGGCTTTGCCCCCACAGGAGGTTAGGAGCCTGAAGCCCATGGAATTTCACCCCCACGGGGCAGGTTCCACTAGGCCCTGCCAAGCCCACCCCGGTGCTCCCTAGAGAGCAGGCTGCTTTCAAGGAATTTGAAACTCCTTGGAGCCTGGCAGGGTCAGCAAAGGGGGCCAGGCCCACTTAGCCCCTGGGGCAGGAGACAACTTTCGGGGCTTCTTCCCTCCCAGAGGGACTTCTCAGGTGTCTAATCCCTCTGGTTGGCTCATTTCACTCAGAGGGAGGGCTCGCCCTTCCACCGGATCAGAAACTCTGGGGTTGGGTTTCTCCTGGGCCAGACCCTCAGAGGGGATGGGGGTCACACCCTTGACCTGCAGACCTGACCTGGGCTGGCAGGAGAGCCTAGCAAGGGCTGAAGGCTGTGCCAGGCCGGCTCTGGGCTGACCAGGCGGGGACGGGACCAGGTCATCCCGGAGTGTGAAGAGAGGGGCCTGGCCCAGGAGCCCCCGCCCCCAGGGCTGACTCACTCAGGAGTGTTGATCCAGATGATGTCCAGGTGGCAATAGTAGACACACTCTTTGTCCTTGTAGGTAAAACATGTACAGCGCCGGGCTCGGTGGTGCACAGGGCCCCCCTTGGCCGCCTGCTCCCCAAACCGACCAGGTCCCTCCTCCTGCCCAGGGCTTCTGGGGCTTGGACCGCGCACTGCTGTTGTGGCCACAGTCTCCTCTGCGTCCCCCTCCGCTCTGGCGGCAGAGGGGGCCCGGGGCTCGCCGCTCCTGCCAGCGTCCCCAGGCTGGGGGCGAGGCACCAGCCCTGCAGAAGAGGCAGATTGAGGGGCTCCTGAGTTGCCGAGGGTGCAGGCCCCGGACACCCACCATCCCCCAAAACCCAGGGGAGGGGGAGAGCCAAACTTTCTGCCAAGTTTGCAAGCTAATGGCACTTTCTGTTAAGTCTCCAAGCTACGCCAGAGGTTCGGAAAAGTGTGCAAAGCTAGGCGCGCCGTTTCCGAAAAGTTTGCAAGTTGCGTGCACACTTGGTGAAAAGCTTGGGAGCTCTTCTCGCCGCGCAGCGCGCAAGCTATCTGTGCCCGCTGAAAACGTGCAAGCATTGTGCAGGCTTTCGGAAAACTCTGCAGTCATTTTGCACAGTTTCTGAATCGTTTGCAAACTTTTGGAAAAGTTCCCGACTTCACGAAATATCGACAAAGTCCGCCCCGGGCCCCGGGTCTCCAGCCTGCGTGTGGGCTGCAACCTCCCAAGCCCGCGGGGGATCCGTGCCCTCAGCTTCTGCCCCCCAGCCCGCCCCCCGGGCGCCTGCAGGGGTGGCGAGCCGGGGCCAGAGGCCTCTGCCAGCAGTGCCCCCTTCCCCGCGCCCCCCGCCCCGCCCGTCCCGGGGTCCTTTTGTGTGCGCTCGCGCCAGGAGCCTCGCGCCGCCCCGCCCGCTTACCTGCGGCGGAGGTCACTGCGAGCCCGAAAAGGAACCACAGCCGCAGCTCCATGAACCCCGATCGGCCGCGGGAGCACCGGGCCGGAGGACGAACGCCTGTGGCCGTGAAAGGGCGCTCGTGCCGGGCACGGCGGGCCTCGCCCTCCGGCCAGGGGGTCTTCGAGGCCGGCCGCTGGCTGGCTGCGTCCCGGGCTGCGGCCAGGAGTTGGCTGCGACGGTCTCGAACTTCAGAGCGCGCTACCCATCCCGGCGCAGGGCTGGCCGGCTGTGGGCTGCGGCTCTTCTGCTTCCCGCACCACCCCCCTCGCCTCCCCGCCCCCCGGAGGGGCTGGAGCTGCCGCGCAGGGCCTTTGAACCCGGGGCGCACGGGGGTCGCCTCGCAGGCGCGGGGGAGCCGGCCAGGCGCAGGGCCGGGTGCGATGGGTGCGTGGGGGGTGGGGGCCGGGACAGCTGCCTGAAGGCCACGCGCGCGCACACACTCGCATACACACGCACACGCGCGCACTCACGCTCACGCGCCCACCCCGCCGCGTCGCTGCCCAGACCCTGCAGCTCCCACCGCAGCTCAGTGGGAGAGAGAATAGGCTGCGCCTGAATCCTATCTTTTATCTCTGGGGCTCTGGAAGGCAGCATTTCTCAGCGTTCACCTAATGACACCTTACCCTTGCACAGACCTGCCAGCCAAGGCCCTGGGCGTACTTTACACTCGTGACTCACGGGCACCGGCAGTGTCTCCCCGCCTCTCCCAGGAGCTCAGAGCTGGTGGGTTTGGGCAGCAATCAGGGGCAAAGTCAACCAAGAAGTGGAGCTAGCGGTCCTGGGGTGTCCGTGACTTGCGCACAGCCCCCTGCACTGGGGAGGTGGCTTCGGTGAGAAGCAGGTTCCTCTCCCCGTCGTGTTCTTCCCACCCCACGTGTGGGAGGCGCTCCTAGCTCACCTGAGACTGGTCTCCTGCCCTGAGCACCACAGGAGAGAGGGTCGGTTAATTTCCTTGTTAAACACCCCCTTTGCTGAGAGCTGTGCCTGGGCACGGGAAGTACTCGAGAAAGATTTGTCGATGGATGAAAGAATGAATGAATAAATGCTTCCCATGGACTCCGCCCTGGACTGCTGACCTCTGAGCACACCAAGAAGCCCTTAGAACCCCTCCCTGGCCAGAGTTCCCCGACCAGAGGGAAGGACGTAAAGAGAGGCAGTGCTCCAGGTGGCATCGGGCACTTCCCTCTTGGCCACTGCCCACCCCATCAGCTTGGACTGGATTGGAGTTGGCGTTCCCTGAAAACCCCAGGCAGGGCAGGGAGTCACAGGCCACACAGAGGAAGATAAACAGGTCTGAGGCCCTGGAGTCACTCCTCATGTCGCAGGGTACTTGTGGTGACTTGAACACCAATCCTTTGACACTCCTCCCACAAAAGACACAGTCGAGTACCACCCCACTCCCCTTCAGCCTGAATGACCCACTTGGAAAAAATAGAAAGCAGCAGAAGTGACCTGAGTGCCTTTGGAGGCAAAGTCATAAAAGGTGGCACAACTCCCACATGGCTCTCTCCCTTGGGATCCTGGTCCTCTGGATACAGCCACCATGCTGGGAGGAGGGCCAAGCAAGCCCACAGAGAGAAACTGAGGCCTTGCAGACAACAGCCCATGCCAACCACTGTGTGAATGAATGAGCCTTGAGGTGACTGGAGCCCCAAGCCTTGAAGACTTCCAACTGAGGGCTAGCCATCCCCACTCTGTGCCCTGTCTGAATTCTGACCCACAGAACCCATGGGCATAAGAAATGGTTGTTCTACACCACGCTGCTTTGGGCAATTTGTTATAGAGCTGTAGTAACTAGGAAGGTACCCAAGTCCCCAGAATTGAGCTGAGGCTTCAATTTCTCCATCACCTCCAGCCCCCTTCCATCCTACCCAGTCCCTGAGTCCAAGTCAAGGTGTGGCGAGGGAAAGATAACATCTTTTAAGGTCATTTGTCACCAAACAGGACAAATATTCTACAGGGGCCTCTTCCTCATTTTCTGTGTTGCATGTTTTGAAAATTAGAAAAGCCCAAAACTAGAATTATCTTCTGCTCCTGCCGGGCTAGAATCTGGATCGCTTTGTTATTATCTCTCTCCTTGGACTTAAAATATTCATCGCCTACAAAATGAAAAAATCTTGGATTGGGGGATGGCTGGAGAAATAGAAAATACAGTACACTAATCAGCTAAAAAGAGAAAAGGGGTAGAGGGCAGTTTCCTGGTATATTCAGACACAGGAGATGTCAGAGCTCTTGGACCACTCGGTGAGTCTGCCGCCTTCCACAGCTTGGGCTAAAGCCTGCCCTACCCGGATAAGCCTGCAAGGCACGCCTAGCTACGGAATACCATCATGGCACTGGCCTGTCCTCAGTCTTCTAATCTAGTTGAGAAAAGGAGAGTATGGCCAGCTGGAGAGTCAGAAGAGTGAGAATTTTAACTGGTCCTTCCAACAACCTGAGGACCATGATGGAGGTGTACCTGCCATGACACTCACCAGCAGCCATGCACAGGTGAGAAAGGTCTCCCCTTTTCTACTCCTTCAGTCCTTCCGACTGCGCCCAGGAGGCTCCTCAGCTGGGTGTGTCTTTAACGTTCTAACAATCGACCAGTTTTGTGCTTAGAGCCTTGAGTAGGCCACAGAATCTAGCTGGGATTTTTTCTCCTTTTTTTGTTCTTGTTGTGCTAAAATACGTATAATGTAAAATCTACCATCTTAACCGTTTTTCAGTGTACAGTTCAGTGGCATTAAATCCACTCATAATGTTGGGCAACCATCACTAACACCCATTTCCATAACTCTTTTCATCTTGTTAAAGTGAAATGCTATACCCGTTAGACATTAACTCGTCTTCCTTCCCTCCCCGGCCCCTGGCAGCCACCATTCTACTGCAATCCGTCTCTGATCTTGACTACCCTAAGTGCCTCATGTAAGTGGAATCATACGGTGTTTGTCCTTTTGTGACTGGCTTATTTCACGTAGCATAATGTCTTCAACATTCATCCACGTGTCAGAATTTCCTTCCCTTTTAAGGCTGAATAATATTCCATCATATAGATAGACTACGTTTCGCTTATCCATGCATCTGTTGATAGACACTTGGGTTGCTTCCATGTTTTAGCCAATGTGAATAAAGCTTCTTTGAACATGAGTGTACAGATATCTCTTTGAGACTCTGCTTTCAGTTCTTTTGGGTGGATACCCAGAGGTAGAACTGCTGGGTCATTAGGTAATTCCATTTTTAATTTTTTGAGTAAGTACCATACCATTTTCCACAGTAGCTATACCATCTTAGATTCCCACTAACAGTGCACAGGAGTTCCAAGTTTTTCGTACTCTCCCCAACATTTGCTATTTTCTGGGGTTTTTTGTTTTTTTGTTTTATAGTAACCATCCTAATGGGTATCTCATTGTAGTTTTGATTTGCATTTCTCTAATGATTATTGATGTTGAGCATCTTTTTGTGTGCTTATTGGCTATTTGTATATGTCTTCTCTGGAGAAATGTTTATTCAAGTCCTATGCCCATCTTTTTTTTTTTTTTTTTGCGGTACGCGGGCCTCTCACTGTTGTGGCCTCTCCCACTGTGGAGCACAGGCTCCGGACGCGCAGGCTCAGCGGCCATGGCTCACGGGCCCGGCCGCCTCGCGGCATGTGGGTTCTTCCCGGACCGGGGCACGAACCCGCGTCCCCTGCATCGGCAGGCGGACTCGCAACCACTGCGCCACCAGGGAAGCCCTGCCTATGCCCATTTTTTAATTGGATTGTTTGGGGTTTTTTGTTGTTGCTGTTCCACTTAGGACTTTGTAACATCGTTTTCATCGCATTTAAGTTTATCTTTCACTTATGGCATGTGTGGTAGTAATATAGATTCCTTTCTAAATTAATTTAAATTTAAAAAATGGAGATGAGCCGGAGAAGCTGGGTTGTGTCCTGATTTGAGCCACTGGATCCAACTGGGCCTGAAATCCACACTATCCCTGTACTCTTCATTTGTAAAAGCTCATAGTTTCTTGTCTTTTAAAGTTTATTTGGGATTCTGTCACTTTCACCTGAAAAATATCCTGGCTGGAACACTACCAGTCTTCCTGGGCTCCAGGGTACGCAGTATGCAAAGGAAACATACAATTCACAAGCCGGGTGGTGAGGGTTTTAATCATTGTTCTGACCTACGATAACACAATTTGTACTCTCATTATCCTCATTTTACAGATGAAAAAATGAAGGCTCAGAAAGGTTAAAGTGAATGTTCTACAATCACACAGCTGTTAAGTGCCAGAGTCAGTATTCAAATTCAGTTCTATCCGATATCAGGGACACAGTTCATAACCGTTAGGCAGCGCTGCCTCCAGATCTCATACCCTGTGTTTATAATCACACCCATTTTCCTCTGTGTGTCATCGACGAGTCATTGCTTCTCCATTTGTCTTGTTTCTTTATTCCCATAATCTCTGATGAAAGGTCATGGTAAGGAATGGTGACCGCATGCCTCCCCCGCAGAGGACACCAAGGAAGGGCCCTTCTCCCCCTCTCGAGTCTCCATCCCTCCTTAGTCACCCTTTGCTGTCTCTGCCATCAAATGCCCCCCTGAGAGAAGTGATATATCAGGACACTTTTACGACTCAGCCAACTGCATGGCTAGGGTCCTTCTGTTGATTTTTCATTAACATTTTCCAAGCTGGTAGATGTGTGGATGTATCTTTGAGACTGTACCTCTCGCTTAAATTTTGACGAGAAATCCAGCTGTTAAGAATATTGTGATTTATCTAGATAAGCATCCCCTCAAGATGCCTCTTCATGTGCTTTATGACTCTTTTGAAGATTGTTTTCCCTTAAAATTAGGGGATTTAAGTGAGAGTAACATAATACGTTATGTAGTTTTCCACTATCCTGGAGTTTCTTCCTCTCGCCTGGCCTCATCAGTGGAAGCCCTGAACTTGCCCAGAAATCAGATAATTAAGTGCTTTTCCATGCTGCCCAAGTCTTAGCTGTGCACCTCCCCATCTTCCTGTGGTCACTGGGATCCACTGGAGGAG